CACATACTCCCTACTCAGTTTCAGTTCATAAAAAATCATCCAGTCATTTCAAGCTTAAAGTGAGTCGTGGTCCTCACTGCATTTTCTCTTCAGTTGTATCCATATTCATATCTATTTTGTATCTATATTTTAAGACTGAGGACTGACAGTGTCAATTAGATTTCCCCTACAAAATAATTCTCTCAAGTCCCTTCTAAAATGCAAACCAGTCAACTCTTGCCTTATTGTAATCTCTCATGAAAGAAGTTCACTTACAAACTTTTATCAAGCCTCTACATTAGCTGAAGCATTTGGTGGTGATAGACTTGCAGAGTTCTACAGCCATCTGCCGGAAAGAACAGTGTGCCACCATTTACTGTGGATTTGTTCCTCAGGTGAGAGAGGTGTTCACTGGAATATAATGGATAGGCAAGTATTGATCGTTACCGATTCATCCAATGGTGATGTAGAAATCAGGCTTTGTGAAAATGTTATTGCATCATAATAGTATGCAGCATAGGATTTTTCTAAGTTAGAGTACAGATACTTAATAAATACGTTAAACAAAAAATACACTCTTCCGCATCTGCCTTTGTTAGTAATCTGTACTTTTATGCATTTTTGACACAAGACCATAAAACCATCACCTCCATTACTTACAAGTAATCTTAGCAATGTCATGGTATCGTCCAGTAAATGGTTTGACAGTAAATATACTAAGGGACGAAATTAAGTTTGCCTTCAATGATGTTGTAACCATTGGCACAATTACAGTGCACCGACAAAAGCAATTGCGCCCATACCAAATCAAGCATTGCAGCTTGCAAGGAAAGTGACAGCTGCTAACAGCAGACAGACAGACTAAAGTGATCAACAGACATGTTAAAATGAGACATAGAAAATAAACATGCAAACATTTTGTATTTAATAAACTAGCTCCCAGAGTTCCCTTGCATGAGATGACAGTCTTGCTAGTTTAGGCTGTTGTACTAAAGCATATGAAGCTACCTGCTATATAACACCGTCTTCACTGCATCTTTCTGAAGAGACTGTGGAACAATTACTGAATTTGAAGACAGCTTTTTAATGTTGGGGAGAGGGCTTGTTTTGCATTGTGGGGGGAGGGTGGTGTTTGGGGGTTTTTGGGTTTGGTTTGTGGTTGTTTTTTTTTAACACATGGGATGATCGTGATTACAGAATCATGTAAGAAACCAGAGAGATAGAACTCATATTCAGGCTATCTGCTGTCCCACACCCAGTTTATATTGTATTACCCTTCTCAGTGGCTTGGACCAGTGTACTTCTAACTTCAGTAGCAGCAGAGGTGGTAACTACTAGTGAATTGTGAACCACTTTGTGTGCTCAGTCGCTCAGAAGGCGGACTGCAATTAAAGCAGTGCAGCTGTAGGTTCCCCTACAGAACAGACGTTTCTTTGGGGAATGTAACCAAATGGTCCATTGACTGCAAAGATCAGGGTAGATAAAGATCTGACATAGCCTATTACAAATGTCTTGGAGAGGTGAATGTGTGTAGCTGCATTAAAGGCACTCGTCAAAAATATTTGCGCATTGAGCTACGAAAATTACAGAAAAAGGTTGTGTTACGTAGGCATGGATAGAAATGTTTGGGGAGTTGAAAGAGACAATTCTAGGCATACTACCATAGTAAGGGCAATCACCTTGAAGAACGAAATGGTAGGGAGACTGCAGCTATTTAAAAAGGAGATAAAATTTCTGAGTGAGGGAATGTTTGTCACAAGAATGCATAGATGCTTGTGAATTACTTTACATGTCATTGCTTCTATAAAAGTATTTGCTGTGTCAAAACTACTTTGTATTGTGTTTATTATTTATTATTTCCATACCTTTTTTGTTGTTACTGCCTTTCCCAGTCTGTCTTCATTTTTGAGGCTCTTATTTACCACGTAGAATGGAGAGTGAGCAAGATGAAAACTGAATAAAAATTGACAGCGGCTTTTCCAGTGGTTTTGTTTAATACGTTGAGGCATGAGACAACAACAACAAAAATTCTTGGCATGCTAGTGTAAGTTCACACCAGCCTGGCTTTTGCAGCCCTCTTCTTTCCCTCTGCCACAACTTTGCCGCTGCTGTGACACTTGCAGGCCTGCTTGGCCGTGGTGCAGCTGATGCCCTGTCCATGCTCATATTTTTCGTATTGACAGTGAGTGTTCTTGCCAAACGCCAGGGACCATAGTCACATCTGTTTGTCTCCCAAGCTTGTCTGAGGCTGCTTGGGAACACTTTGTGTCCAGAGGGCAGCTTTAACTAGGCCTAATACTCTGAAAAGCCTCTATTTGTAAATGCATACAATGAGGCGACAAGTTCCTGTTGTCTTTCCTTAAAAATTATTCCATTTGACACTGCTTGCTCCAGTCCCTGTCACCAGCACGTCAAAAGCCAAGTTTTCAGGCAAGGTGGTCTTAACAAGTTTTATTTTTTCCCTGATAAAATGCCTAGCTTCCCTCCAGAGCACTATTTATAAATGATAGCTGGAAGCAAGCTAGGGGTAAGTAGAGAGAAGTCAGGCAAATGGCTTTCTTCCCTTCTGTAATCCGCGCTCTTCTGATTTAATGCTAAGAAACATAATGCTGAACTTAGCCTGATTGAGGGTCAGAGTTCTCCCTACTTTATAATACCCCCATTACAAGCATTTCAAAATGTACTGTGCAGCTTCAGAATCATGCTTCATTTTGTCTAACCTGCCAGTTCCAGAGCAGTGATAGTTCTTGTCTGTTCCTCTTAAAGTAAAAAAAAAAAATAAAAAAATAAAAAAATCTTTTTGTTTTGCTGTGATCTACACTGACAGTGCAAGAATCGCCACTTAGCTTAATGTTTGATGTTAGTGGCCATAAAACCAGGTTTGACAAAGCTTAATTGGTGCTCTAGCGTATTGTTATTTATTTGTGGTGTACAGAATTTTCAACGGCAACAAAGAAATACCCACTCTCACCTTGGCTGGTGATGGGGTGGTTGTGCTCGGCAAAGGCGAATGATTCATTTATGCTGAAGGAACAAGGCTGCCTTTCAGACGTTCATTGATTTTAAATTAAAAAGTAACTGCTATGTTCTACATGAAGGGTGACAACAATAACAAAGTAGTCCTTACTTAGTGTTATTTGTTGCAACTCCATTCGGCGTGCCTGGAGGAAAAGTGGGGAGACCCCAGTACCATAATCTTACAGATCAATAATCTAGATATCTCAATGTAGTGTAACAGATAATCAATTCTGGGTAAAATAACTCAAATGCTGCTAGCTGTTAGTGCTGTGGCTCAGGTCCTCAGGTTCAATTGCCTGGCTTTATTAATTTTTATCTTTCATCCTACTTGTATTCCTGGCGACTTTCTCCCTTTTTCATTCAGAAGAGAAAACAGAGAGTTGCGTACTGTTTAACATATAATTTACCACACATCTTATTCTGGGTGTTTATTATCAATGTTATACACATCTCTTAAATATTTTTCTCTAACGATTGTTTCCCCATATTGTATTTAAATATTCATTTTCTTTATTGTACAATCAGTTATGAAAGAGTTGTGTTTCCAAACTTAGAACTGAAATTTATCACCCTGTTAATATACTAGTTCAGCCATGTTCAGCTTCTGGACGTTAAGATAGGATGCAATTTCAACTTAGAATTGCAAGGAAAATGTCTGTTTTGAAACAGAGAGAATTAAATAAATGTTGAAACAAGGGTTCACTAGGTGAAGCTAGAGTGCACCTCTGTGTGAAACTTAAATTTCTTAGAATACTTTACTATTTTAAAAAAAATCACTGTAGTACTTGTTAATTTACTGTATCTTTTTAGAAGTAGTATGTAGGGGATTATACATTGTCATCTCTTTCATCAAGGCATTGTTGTCACTCTTTTACATTATTGAGCAGATCTGAGGTCTCTCAGCATTCTATGACCATTTGTTATTCATTTAGAAGCAGCACAGCTTTAAAAAGATTATAAATGCAGTAAAGGGTAAGTCATATATCCACACTGAGACCAGATCCCGTGAGTGGCAGAGTGTTACTATGCTACAGTAGACTATCAGGTGCAATTCTCAGCTTGTAATTTTAGCAAAAGTCACTACACTACTGCGGTAAGTGTCACACTTCTCAGTAACATTTATGGAGATGTACTAAAATTGTGGTGTTTAGAATTTACCGCTTCCCCCCTCTTCTGTTCTAGTTCTTTCAAAAAAAAATGCTGGCTACATATATTCCATTCTACAGGCACTGTACATTACTTTAAGAAAATTAATAACTATAATAGTCCTTCAAGGTTATATTCCAAAATTCAATATTTGTAAATTCCAAATGTACCCTTTTTAGTGGTATCTGACTTCTAATAGCTGGCTTTAATGCAACAAGATTTGCTGTTTTCCATCCTCTGCAGCTCCACCAATTTTCCAGTCTCCAAGTATAAGCTTATAATTGTTTAATGAGCGTACCAGATTCTGTACTTCTGTTACCATTCTCACAACTTGCCAATGAATTAGAAGAGGACAAATTGGTGTGCTACAGGTTTATTTTACATACCTTTGAAGAGTTTACTGTTTCATGTTTTCTCATTCATTCTTCATCTTACCTTAAAAAAATTGATAATACTTTTCATGTAATAAATGTTGTTCTGACAGTCAGGCGTTACTAGCCAATTGATAACCTACCAACAGTATTGTGATCTGCTTAGATAATTAATCTTAGCTATTTTCCTGTCAGGACCAACAGTGTTTTTGTTTTATGTTGAGCTAGAAAGATTGCCAGTTTTGAAAATTAAAAAGCATTCCCTTTATATTATTCATTCCAGTAACAATTTATGATGCTGCATTTAGATACTGAGCGCTTGTCAACAAACATAATTATGCTTCGATATAAACAAGATCAGTGGCTTGACTATGCAGCTTCATCTTGGTTGAGAATGTTTTGATATAGGTTCAGATTATACAAGCTGTGTATTTATGTGGTGGTTTTCTTCCTTTGTTAATAGTTTTCTCCTATAATTACTTGCAGGCAAACCAGTGTACATTTAGGATCATTGTGCATGGGAGACATCAAACGGAGAAGGAAAGCTGCTCCCCTGCCAGGACCCACAGGTAACCAATTTCCCTGGGACAGAACACAAAACACAAGATGTTAAATCTCTGAATTCAAAGCAGTAGGTCACTGACCTGAGGAAATGCTCAATAAATTCAGTAACTTTCTGTATAACTTCAGATACGTACTATCCTTATTTATTAGTAGAGATTAAGAAATAAATAGGCTCTCTTAATTCTCCTTCAAACATTTCCAATTTTTAGTCCTTTGCAGAGTGGCACTTCCTTAAAGAGAATAAATCTTTTTTCATATACTGAGAATCATAGACAGTAAAGATTACTGCTTATGGTTGTTCAAGCATTACAAGGTAGTAGGCATGAGGTATCTTTTTTCTGTAAGGAATGCATGTGAATACTATAAATACCCTGCAAAATAGAGTATGTGAATTCTTGGGCAAACAATTGAAAATGTGGAGGTAAGACTGTGAAATGCAGCTTTAAAATTAGTGCTGTAGATTAAATAGGAAGCACTTGCAAGCACATTTCTGAAAGATTTTTACAGATGCGAGGTCACAACCATTGGATACATTTTGCTGATGTCACAGCTGTGAAATGACTTTTTCAATACTTAGCAGTGATTTATAGGACTCTCATCAGTTTGTTGTATTAATTATACATGTGCATTCTGGAAGGATTAAATTGTGCGTGTATTAAAAAGCCTGTGTGAGGCTTTTTATATATTGCTAATATGGAAATCTGGGTTGCATGTCCTAGTCATATATCAATTACTATAGCAACATATGCGACGCATAGGGTTCTTCAAATATATTCCAAATAGATGCCTTTAGAGAAGCCTAATATTTGTATTCCAACTGAATTCCCCCTCCTGAAACTTCTTTGTTTCAAACCTCAGTGGCAGAAACAGACCAGGAATAATATTAAAAATGTTATTAAAGCACCTTAGTGGCAGCAGTATGGAAAAAGAGAATGGATGGGTCAGCTTCTAAGACTCTGAACATATGTGAAGTGAGAAAGAAAAATACTTAATGGCTGAAGAGAGAATAATATAATTATTTCTACAAGGTGATTTTCACTTCACAACTTTCAAGTACTAGAGGATGTCATATTGTACTGAGAGGGTATGAAGTATCATGAAATTCATTTTATTATTCATTTTACCTTGGGCTTTCAGTGTTCAGTATTTTATTTTACAAGCTGGCTCCTCTGCGTAACTTTGCAAAGCTAATATTTTCATACTAAGGCAAATATATTATGTGATCATTCAATGTTACGTATCTATATATTCACAATTTTAGAGATTGTTTTGCCCTGAGAATTTGCCTTTACATGGAGAGTGACAGAATAAGGGTGGATAAAGGTATCATATGAGGTACCTTTTAACTAACGGGTGGTTTTTCCTCTTCAAGTTCAAGGTAATCTTTTCAATTTTGTTCTGGGCAGGAGGACTGAGAATTTTTTCTGTGGTCTTATAAAAGTTTTTTTTTCTGCATTTCGTCATTGTAAACTTTTGAGCAAGTAGAAACTTTGGTAAATTTTGAGTAAACTTTTACATATGTGCAGATAATATATAAGATTTTATAAATTATTACAGTTTTCTCAAAGGCTAACCTTCCCACAGCTAAATTATTCTTTATCTATCACACGCCTTGTTTGTTTATCTTTGTCAGTATTTCATACCATTTTATGAAAGAAACAAGGTTTCCTTTTAGATTGGAAGTACATTTGGAAATTTAGATTAAAATGAAAAATTTTGATTATTCTCTTTTCAGTGGATTTTTTTTTAGCTAAGATAAAGGAATAGAAGGATTAGATTTTATGTAGAAGAATCTGTAAACTTTTTTCTTGAAAGAAAGAAGGGACATAAGTTGCATATTTACATGAACAAAAGCTGGAAATTAAAAGAAGCATTCTGCTAATAATTGTCCATATTTAACCTCACAGTAAAAGCTGAAAGGCTGTCTGTAAATGAGTCATGAACTGCAAAAGTTTTCTTGAGCTCTATGTTCTGCAAATTGGCAAAGTTTCACCCAATATGAGCCAATCCACTGAAAAAAGTATTTTCAAAATTGTCACCTGCATTTTTGAATAAACTGCATTGGTAAATGAATTCTTGTAGCACTCTCCACAGTGTTGAAAATGGTCATTTTATATATTTAGGTTGAGTAGTACTGAAGAGAATGACTGGTTATCCTAATGAAGTATCAGAATATGTTCTCTGGTTTCGAGTCTCACAAGGGTAGCACCTGCTACTTTCAGGCACCTTACAAAGCTGTAGACTTCTGTAGCAAGCAGTGTTATTGGTTAAACATTTATTAATTGTGACAAGAACACCCAATTTATTTCAGTACTCCAGCTTATTTACTGCTCTTTCACCTTTGTATTTTGTATTGAAAAAGTAAAATGAATATTGATAGAGTTAGGTATTGATTTCTAAATTTATAGCCTGTTCTCAGCCTGGAGTCAAAGTCACATACCAATAGGTTTGTGTTTATTAGTAACAAAGGATGTAGATTTACTTGTACAGCAATGAGAAACTATTGAAGCAAGAAAGTTTGAGCAGCATGGAGCATTTTCCAGTTTCAAAAATGTCATTTGTAAAGGTGAAGAAAAGCTGTGTTGAAAAGCAGTGAAGAAGATGGGAGATAATATAGGTAGGGATTGTTAGGAGCTGACAGTACTGACACAGGAGTGTCCTATTCTGCCTTTTTTACTGAGAGAAATTCTCTGCGTCGTGGTTGCTTGATATAGCCCCAGCTGTGTGTTACTGACCCTAGACAGTTAATTAGTTTATCAACTAAAAAAAGATACTAGTAAAAATTGTTTACTACTTATGATTTCTAGTAAGAATTAGGTGCTGTACATTACAAGTATGTACTTTTTTGCACAGCTTCTTCTATGAAGCCAATATTATTTCAGTGATTCTAGTGAGACTGGGGACCAACCAGGTCATTCTCAATGACTTTATGCTTTCCTTGACTACCTGAGTGGTAGAGCTCTTTCATACGACACCGTGACATATTTCATTGTAGCAATACAGTTCCCTCGAGTTTGTATAAAAACCTCCTAGACAAGCTAATACATTATCATGGAAATAGCTCTAACAAACTGGGTCCAGTATTAATGAAAATAATAACAAAAAAAAAAAACCAAAAAAAAAAAGATTTTGTATGCAAGAGAAAGGATGTTTTCTGCAAAGTATTGTTACGACCTGAAACACATATATTGGTAATGTTTACAGTAATTTCAGTCTTAGATTACCTATTTTAAGTCTCATATCAAACCAGTAGATGCTACAGAATGTTAGACGCCATGTTCATACACTGAATATACATTTACCCCGGTTCCTTTCCTATTCTATCTATTCTGTCTACTTCTGTACAAGCTGGTTTTTTTCTCAGTCAGCTCCTGTTAAATTCCCAAGACCTTTTAAATTTTTCCTTTTTTTTTAATAAGAAACCTCTACATCTTAAATATAGGAAAACATCAAATTCTGCTTCACATCTGCAGGATGTTAATAACAAGTTACAGAATATGGAATGTTTGATTCAGAACAAAAAAAAAAGTTTTACTTGTGCGCCTTTTAAATAGCCATTTAGTTCTATTTGAAAACAATCTTTTTGCTCTGATGTCTACATACCACGGTTTACAGTTTGGAGCAATGGTGAAAATCTGCAAAAACTAATTTTAAAGAGAGAAAGCTATTTTGCAGTTAAAATACAGAGAATGTGCATATAAAATATATAAATTATGGTGTATGTTATGGGCACTTTAATACTTACATTTTGCAAAAGCAAATTTCAGGTGTCGTTTTCTTTATCTAGTTGGCACGTTGCATGTTACACTTCAGGCTGGTACTGACTGAAACAACCAAGTTAAAAGTCTCATTTTAAAGAATGTGTTTTAATGAAAAATATGACACATTCTTAATTACGGCAGAAATACCGAGCACTGCTATAATGCCATCATGACTCACTTTAACAAGGTAATCAAAAGGGTACATGTTTTCATTCCTTTTTAAAAATTGCCAACAGAACAGCTAAGCAAACTATTTTGCTGATGCTTAATATGTCAGTGATTAAAAATCAGACCTGAATATCTGCAGTACCAAAATGATGATTTGAAAAAGATTGTGATTACACTGTGATAACAGAGGTGGCTGAGGCTAAGTCTGTGGTGAAGGTCAACTTAGTGAGATAGTTGCAGAGAAAGGGTAGACTTTTGCGTACTTGGATGAACGGGCAGTAAATTTCCAAAACTCTAGACAAACTACTATATGCCTTCTTTCTTTTTAGCTTGATTCACTGCTTTTCTATCTACTAAATGTACAATTCCATAGACAGAAATCCCTTTTAACAGGACAATATACCGTTGGCATGTGTTGTGAACACTTTCCCCTTAGTGCGTTGCGCTATTTCTTGTCCTTAGTCTATCAAAGTCCTTTCTGGTGTACACAATATGTCTGCTTAATTGTCTGGCCTATGGATATTCTTCTTTTTTTTGGTTGGCTTCTGCAGCAGATTAAATTTTAGGGACTTCTTTCTGTTTCTTTTTTTCTCCTACTATATTGTCTCACTAAATCGGTTCAAAAATTAAAAGATCGCTGAGCACCATCCAGTATTGGAAACTGCTGTCCCTTCAGAGCAAAAGACTTTTCATGTTGAGCTTCAGGTCATTGGTTCATGCAGGCCCCTTACATATAAACACCAGAGTAATGAGGAGAGTTTGGTAACAAAGTTCAGAAGATCCACAATGCAACAAGAACCAAGCTTATACTGAGAATTTGCTGATGGATTTCTTGTGATCTAGAGAGAAGACAATATTCTTCAGGCTGTACACACAGCCAATATAAAGTCAAGAAGAAACCTTCAGGTTGATAGAGGAAGACTGTACCTGTCTCTTCTAAATGCCATCATCTTCTGAAATGTGGAAGGTTCAAAAATAATTCCCCAAATTACTCTGGGAGTCTTTCCTAAGGTAGCTGTTTCTTTCTGGTTGTGGAAAGCATTCAAATTGCCTCCACTGGGAGTTGGACACTGATC